GGGTATTGGCCATTACCCCAGTGTCTCTGCACTGCGAGGCGTCCGGTCTCTGTATCTTTTCTGAGAGGCCTTTGTTTGTTTTAGTGAGAAGAGGGCTTGGAACTTGGGACAGAGCAACGCTAAACTGTCCTATTACGACGGGGTGATCCAGCTGACCTACAGAAACGGGACGCCCTACAATAATGACAAGCGCACACCAAGAGCCACGCTGATCACCTTCCTCTGTGACCGGGACGCCGGAGTGGGTGTCCCCGAGTATCAGGTAGGAAGGCACTGTACCTGCAGGTGCGCGGGCCTGCGCACGACACCAGGGAGAGACGTCAGTCTCGTGAGGGCAGGAGAAGGTGGTTACAACAGGGCTGTTTGTCCAGTTTCCTGGCCACACGATCACCTCTTGAGATTGTAATTAATTCTTTTAGATTTGTTGGGTCCACAGGCCATGTTCACTTTCTGACTGTTTCTTCAATGGGTCATTCTCTGTGATCACCCTCAACCCTGTTGGATACAGGTCCAAAACACAGAAACTGTCCTATCACCACCATCCCTCACTCCACTGCACAGAGGCTGGATTCCTGCCTTGATTCTTCCCTGGACACTTCCTGTTAATAAAATGAGATGGGCAAAGTAACCTTTCTTCCTACAGTGTTTACTTAGAGAATGTACCTATTGTTTTTTTAAAAATCCTGGCATTTGTAACATTCCCCCTCCTCTTTGCCATCCCTCCCCGTGTCTCCGTGCCACGTGATTAGGAGGAAGATAACTCTACCTACAACTTCCGGTGGTACACCAGCTACGCCTGCCCCGAGGAGCCGCTGGAGTGCATGGTGACCGACATCGACTCAATGGAGCAGTACGATCTCTCCAGGTAAGGCGGGTCAGCCTGCCCTTGGTCTTGGCCTAGGCCCGGGTCAGTTAGTGCTGAGGTCATTTAGGACTTGCTGGTGATCATGGCGCTGAGCTGTCGATGGGGTGTCAGGTAGTTCTGGGGTGCAGGACCAAGCTGGGGAGTTTGAAGCAGAGTGAATTCTATTTTTTTTTTTTTTTTTTAAGGGAGAGAGACATGGGAACATCAATGATGAGAGAGAGTCATTGATCAGCTGCCTCCACAACCCCTACTGGGGATGGAGCCCAAAACCCGGGCATGTGCCCTGACCGGGAATCAAACCCTGACCTCCTGGTTCATAGGTCGATGCTCGGCCACTGAGCCACCCCGGCCAGGCCAGAGTGAATTCTAACAGTGGCCTGGTAGCCTGTGATATTAACTGGTCTTTGTACCACAAAGCCTCTGTCTTCAGCTACATTATTTAAATCAGCGACTCAGTACAGAGGTGTGGGGGCAGGTCCAGGTGTGCTGAATCCTGTGTTTAATAAAAGTCAACTACACCCCAGCTGGCGTGGCAAAGCAGTTGAGCATCGACCTAGGATCCTGGAGATCGCTGTCTGATTCCCGGTCAGGGCACATGCCTGGGTTGCGGGCTCGATCCCCAGTGGGGGGGCTGGCAGGAGGCAGCTGATCAATGACTCTCTCATCACTGATGTTTCTGTCTTTCTCTCTCTCTCCCTCTCTCTCTCTCCCTTCTTCTCTCTGAAATCAATAAAGATATATTTAAAAAAAAGAAAGAAAAATGTATATTAAAAAAATGTCAACTACAGTGGGCGTCGTGAGTCACAGTGAGCCACCTCTAGTGTGATTGGGAGGGTGTGTTTTGTTCTGTGTTTCTCTAACTCCTTAGAAAATAACTGTCAGGCTTCAAAAGCATACATTTTGCTCTGTAATTTTAGGCTTGCGAAGTCTGAAGATGGTCCTGAAGGAAACTGGTATGCCCTGGACAGCGCAGGACAGCACAGCATGTGGAGGAAATACTACATCAACGTGTGTCGGCCCCTGAACCCCGTCCCAGGCTGCGACCGGTACGCAGCTGCCTGCCAGATGAAGTATGAAAACAATCAGGTGAGTCTTCCCACCAGTCGTCTGCGTCTCCCTCGGAGCACGTGCCTCCATGGAGATGCGTGGTTATTTCGGGGCTCCCAGATCAAAGTAGGGCCAGCTGCTGATGTGGGGGCCTCTGAGTAGGAGCGGGGCCTCCCCTGGGTGCGATGGTGTGTGAATTATGATTCAGATTTAAACCCTGAGCGAGCACAGCACGGGGCAGAGCAAGCTCCCGGCGGAGTGCTCAGCCTGAATTAACAGGTGCCTCCGAGTGACTGGCAGGCATCTGTAAAGAATAGTTTTGCTTCCAGAAGCTGTTGCTTGTGGCTAATTGGGTGGAACCGGCTCGGGAGAGTCGGGCACTGTGGGTGAAGTAGGTCCAAGGGCTGCTCTCACCCGGCGCGGAACTGCCCCTTCGTCCTCAACTGAGTGTGGTGACCGCCAGCAGCTTGGTACGTTTTTGTGCTTTTACGTGGCGAGTCTTAATGGATGCGCGTCTTTAAAAATAGCGCGTCAGCAACACACTTTTCTTGGCTCGTGTTGTGTGGCGGCTCGGAGGTGGCTGGTTTTGTGTGGTGGTGACTTGGCTTCCCGTGGTGTGTTCAAGCACCTGCACGTGCTCTCTCTGTGGGAGCCGTGGCCTCAGTACAGTCAGCGTTTGATATCGTGGATTCTCTATCTGCAGATTCGTCTACTTGCTAATGTTTGTCACCCCTAAAGTAATACAGCCATTGCGGGCACCATGGCCCGACGTGTGATCCCCGCTGAGGGGAACGGGGCGCTCTGCATCCTTGACTGTTTCCTACCCAGATGACAAGAGGATGGGACGTGAGGGACCAGACAGTGTGGGGTCAGGTGGATGGGGTTAGAGTCCCGCCTCCGGTGACTGTAGAGGGGTGGCCTGGGACAGGTCACATGTCTGAGCATCACTTTGCTGTTGTAAAGATGATGGAATCCACCAGTGTGAGGTGTTTTGAGGATTTAAGATAATGTTCTGGGTGAGATCTGTGCTCACAGGGGTGCAGGTTTTGCCTGTATGTAAGCACATGTGTTCCGTGTTCACTAGCTCTGTGTTTGCGGTGACTTTGTGGAACACAGATGACTGTGAGCAACTAGGACCTGCCACATTAGTGATGAAGTCGGAGGGGAACCTAACAGATGTGTTTGTTCGCAGGGCGTGTTTTCCGAAGTAGTCTCCATCAGTAACCTGGGAATTGCCGAGACAGGCCCCTTGGTGGAGGACAGTGGCAGCCTCCTGCTAGAGTACACGAACGGCTCTGCCTGCACCACCAGCGACGGGGTGCAGACCACCTACACCACCAGGATCCACCTCGTCTGCTCCCGCGGCAGCCTGGTAAGGCGCGGCTTGGCCTGGGACGGGTCGCTCAGCGGAGCACTGGGTTCGCTCTGGGGTCCTCTGTGACCAGTTCCGCCTGCGTGTCTCTAATGGAGATGAATCGAGTCTGGGTGGGTGGAGCAGTTGGGTTGCTCTTAATTCTGCTTCAGGTCAGCCCGTGAAGTAGACATGAGGCGGCAGGGAGCTCGTAGGAGGGCTTTTGTGTCTGTATTTTCTGCAGTTGAGCCTGTTCTCTTACTACTGGTATGTGACACACCCTGCATGGTGTTCTGTAGACTCGAGTTTTCTCTCTGAGTTCTACAGGCGCCGTCCTGCCTGTTCTTGCGAGTCAGTGGCCCGAGGATCATGGCAGCAGGACAGGTCTTAGAGCTGGTTCAGTGCACAGTCCTCGGAAGAGGAAGCCGAGGCTTGGTTCCGCTCAGGCCGGTGGACAGACAGGGAGGGACATGTGTGTAATTCACTGGCAAAGCAGGAATAAGAAGCTGAGGCTGGGAGGTAGGAAGGTGCTGGGGATTGCTTGTGGCTCTGTGTTCCTTTGCTGGGGAAGAGCCGAAGAGAAAACTCCAAATGTAAGTGCTTTATGGTAATTCTGCATAGTCCCAATTGCTTTAAAAAAAAAAAAAAATTATGGCAAAAATGTATAACACAAAATTTACCACTTTAGTCATTTTTTACACGTAGAATTTGGTGGCATTAAGTACATTGATAGTGTTGTGCACCTATCACCGGTATCCATTTCCAGAACTTGACCCTCTCAGACCGAATTGCTTTTGTACCTGGAATTTTACATTTATACCTGGGTCGTGTGTTTTTCAAGTAATGGACAAACTTAGATAAATGCAGAGTAGAGATACTGAAATCCATGTTTCTTATTAAATAAATAACTTAAAAGTCCACCTTTTAAGGGTGTGCTACAGCTTCTTCTAGCTTCATTGAAATGAAGTAGCCAAATGTGTCCACTCCTCTCAGCAGCCTGGCGGACTTGGTTACATACCTTCCAATCATCCCGCAGACCCCAAATTCTCACTTTTTTTATTTTTTTGCCAACACATGATGTTTTTTAAGAGATGATTTCTTTAGAATTCAGGAAGGTCTCCGTGATACGGAATGGAATCACCAGCTGGGTAGGCATGGCCCGTGTTGTGCAAGGAGGGGCTCCACAGCTGAGACTGACGTGCACCCTGCGATTAGCCCGAGCTGGGGTTTCCTGTTTTCTCCCTCAGTCAGTCTCAGGAAGGCATCATGGTTGCCCATCCCGGCCCTCGCCACCTCTCTGGGCGTGTCTGAGCATCGGCTCCTGGAGCCTCACCCACCTCCCTGCCCCTGCCTGGTTTCTTGTTGCTGTGGTGAGAGTGGGCAGTTCCAGCAAGTTCTTTTGGAGCCTTAGTCTCCTGTGACACCTTGTTTGGATGGTATTTTTAGTTTTTTTCAGTTTCACACTATCACTGTGTATTTGGTACATATCGTGGGCCCAGGAAATAGTGAGTAGAGGCCACATCCACAGAGAGATGTGCAGGTCACGGAATTATCACAGATTAAGCTCCGTTACTTTCCACAGCCGTGCTGTGAGGCAGAGACTGCACGGATGTGTTTCCGTCTTACTGTTGGAGACGCTGAGGCTGCAAGGGTGGGGGACTTCCAGGTCAGAGGGCGGTTGGTGGGTGAGGTGTAGGCTCAGGGTGAGATCACAGTCACTTCCTTCACCGGTGAGCCTGTGCAGGTGTCTTAACCTCCCTGTGCCTCAGTTTCCCCACCTTGTATGCAGGTATCGGGTAATGTTAGAACCTGGTTCAAGGGGTTGTTGGTGAGGCTTAGGTGAGAAATGCTCATAAAACTCTCAGCGGTGCCTAGTGTTTGATGAACGCTCCAGATGGGAGCTGCCGCTGTCCGTAACGGGGCGGTGGTGTCACGTAAGGTCGAGTGGCACTTGATTGAGGACCTGTTATTGAAACGCACCCGGAGAATCCACAGATGATAAGGAACTAACAGCTGGAAGCATTTTCACAACCGTGCACACCTGTGTGACCACACCTCCCCCTGTCACGTCTCCACCCGTCCTGACCTCTCAGGTCGGCTCTGCCTGTTTCTGAGCTTAACACAGGTGAAACCGTGCACCCCGTAGCCTTTGCCCTGGCTTGCTGGGTTCCACACTCTTGGGGGGAGCATTTTTCAAAAGCACAGACTTGGACTCAGACTTGGGTGTGGGTCCCAGTCCACCATTTACTGCTGGCGTGGCCTCAGGCAGATGTCCTCACACCCAAGCCTGAGAGGTAGCGTAAGAATAATAAAGATGTTACGCTGTGACTAGATAATGCTCATTAAATGCCTAGCCTATCGATCGGCGCCTAGTAAAGTGTCGGGAGACGGTGGCCGTTTTTATGGAACGGGCTGGGCTGCTTTGGGTTCAGTCGAGTTCCATTTCTTAGACTAACCGTTACCCTGGGTCTGACCTTTCAGAACACCCACCCGATATTTTCTCTCGTGTGGGAGTGTGTGGTCACTTTCCTGTGGAATACGGAGGCTGCCTGTCCAATCCAGATAACGACAGACACGGACGAGGTACGTGCGCTGTCCCGGGCCCTTGCTGAGCTGCCCTGACGTTCCCACCCAGGCGCCAGCTCTGCACGCACCCCTCCCCTCTTGCTCCAAATCTGCAACCGGCGTCTCTAGTTCCCCCACTTGACAGCAGACTCTGGAAGTCGCCTTCATTCCTCTCCCACCCCGGCTTCCAGGTCCAGTTTTACTCCTGGGTTACTGTAGATTCTGTTTTGCTCTGCATCCCACCGTCCCTTCCACGTGGCAGTGGCGCCCCAGGGGCTCTGGGCTTCTCTGCCGCTGCTGCGATTGGAGTGGTTAATATGTCACCCCAGCACCTAAACATTTCGGTGCCTGTCACCTGTAGAAAACAGCCACCTGTGTTACTGTGATACTTAAGGTTTTTTTTGTTACTGTTGTTAACTCTCACCCGGGGATATCTTTTCCGTTAATTTTTAGAGAGTGGGAGGGAGGGAGGGTGAGAGAGAGAAACATCGCTGTGAGAGAGACACATCAGTTACTTGCCCCCTGCACGCGCCCCAGGCTGGGGGTCGAAACTGCAGCCCTGGTGCGTGCCCTTGAGTGGGAG